TGTGAAAGGAGTTTCCAGGAATTAAAGCATAGATTGACGACGGCACCGGTATTGACTATTCCGTCAGGATTTGGAGGTTTCGAAATCTACAGTGATGCGTCGTTGAAAGGGTTATGATGTGTACTGATGCAACATGGGCGAGTAGTAGCCTATGCATCAAGGCAGTTGAGGCCGCATGAACTGAATTATCCGACGCATGATTTGGAATTAGCTGCGATCATATTCGCCCTTAAGATTTGGCGACATTATTTATGCGGAGAGAAATTTCAGATATATACAAATCATCAGAGCCTCAAGTATCTGTTTTCTCAAAAGGAGCTTAATATGAGGCAGCGTCGTTGGATGGAATTGCTGAAAGATTATGATTATGATATTTTATATCACCCCGGAAAAGCCAACCGGGTAGCCGATGCATTGAGTCGGAAGTCAAGCATCGCACACTTGATGGTCAAGGAATGGACTTTATTGGAAGGAGTGTGAGACTCGGAGTTTAGATTCGAAGTAAGTCAAGTCTCGAGCTTGTTTGCCACTTTAAGAATCGAACCAGAAATCCAGACTAAGATTAAGTCCTTACAGTCTACGGATCAAAAAATTCAAAAGATTCTGGAAATGGATGCTACCAAGAGGAAACCGGACTTTCGAATATCCGAAGACGGGATATTGAAGTTCCGTGGACGGTTGTGTGTGTCTGACGATGCGGAACTTAAGGAAGAAATTTTGTCAGAAGCTCATCGTAGTAATTATAGCATCCATCCCGGTAGTACGAAAATGTATCAGAATTTGAGACAGTACTATTGGTGGAATGGTATGAAGGTGGACATAGCTAAGCACGTGGCTAAGTGCCTGACGTGCTAGCAAGTGAAAGCGCAACATTGTAAGCCCGGAGGATTGTTGCGACCTTTGGAAATCCCGGAATGGAAATGAGAACATATTACTATGGATTTTGTGATGGGATTACCAAGGAGCCAAAGAGGCCATGATTCCATTTGGGTAATTGTCGATAGATTGACAAAGTCAGCGCACTTCTTGGCCGTGCGAAAGGACTTCGCATTGGATCGGTATGCTGAGTTGTACGTACAATAGATCGTTCGTTTGCATGGGGTACCAGTTACGATTACTTCGGATCGTGATCCTAGGTTTACCGGCAATTTTTGGAAAAGTCTGCAAACGGCATTAGCATCAAAACTGCAGTTTAGTACAGCTTATCATCCACAAACGGATGGTCAGTCTGAGAGAACGATTTAGACTCTAGAGGATATGCTTCGGGCATGTGTATTGGATTTTCAAGGTAAATGGGAAGAGCAATTGCCCTTAGCAGAATTTGCGTATAATAATAGTTTCCAGCAGAGCATCGGAATGGCGCCATTTGAAGCGTTGTATGGCAGAGCATGTAGAATGCTCGTATGTTGGGATGAAGTTGGAGAAAGGAGTATAACCGGGCTAAAGTTAGTTCAACAGTCAATTGAGGCTATTAAGATAATTCGTGAAAGGCTGAAATCAGCTCAAAGCCGTCAAAAGAGTTATGCAGACAAAAGGCGAAGACCTTTGGAATTTCAAGTAGGTGATCATGTATTCCTTAAGGTATCGCCCATGAGAGGATTATCCCGATTTGGCAAAAAGGAGAAGTTGAGTCCGAGGTACGTGGGACCCTTTGAGGTTTTGGAAAAGATTGGAGACTTAGCTTATCGCCTTGCGTTACCGCCAAATCTGTCGCAAGTGCATAACGTATTCCACGTATCGATACTGAGAAAATATGAACCGGACCCAACTCATGTGTTGAATTATGAAGAGATAGAAGTTGACGACAGGGTGTCGTATGTCGAAAGACCAATAAGGATCGAAGATCGGAAGGAACGAGTTTTAAGGAACAAGACGATCCCGATGGTCAAAGTTGTTTGGGAACATCACGGGACAGAAGGCGCGACTTGGGAAAGCGAAGAGCTAATGCAACATCAATGCCCCCACTTGTTTGAGTAGTAGGCTGAATTGTAAATTTCGAGGACGAAATTTTTATAAGGGGGGAAGAGTTGTGACATTCTGAAATTCGACCCACTTGGGATTTATGAAATGGATGATTTTATGAACGTGCTTGTAGTTAGATCTCGCCCGGAATTGATCATTCCTGGGATACTAACCATTAGGGAATGGCTAATTAGGGATTTAAATTCGCGCAACCAAAGAAACTCGATCGTGAACCGACTTTCGACCATAAAAATTATCGAGGTGACATTTTGAGCCAATGTAGGCCGATCCAAGGATAGTTAGGGATCAGTTCGCCGCTATCATACGAGTGGATCGCGGGTGATTCCGCTTGACCACGAAATGAATTGACGAATGATCCCAAACCTATACCAAACGATCGTGCCCGTCGGAACTAGCGATCGATCCTCGCGATTAAGTGACAACCGAGGTCATCACGACCCGAGTGAACTTAAATGTGGCTTGATTCAGTATCGGCCACGGGTTAGATATACGAATATCCCCAAAAGCCACCCGTTAGTTCGAGATGTGCTCAAGTACGTTAATTAAATTTAATCATTGATTAGAGACCCAGTTTGGGCATTGGGAAATTATGAAGGTCACGACAGGATAATTGGACGACGTTGTTATTAGATCGGTTAGCCTCAGATTTGTCCGGATTCTTCAGAAAATTCGAATTTCGGCGAGAAATGGAAAATGACCGCTTTACCCTTGGGACTTTGTTAAGGCCAAGTATAGTGTGAGAGGGGCAGTTTGGTCATTTCACTCCTACATTAGAGATAGAAATTTTTGGACAATTTTGCCCTTGGAAATTTTGTGAAATTCCAATTTTGCCCCTGGATATTTTTGGCAAGGATTAATCTGGACTGTTGATCTTAGGATAAGATCAAATCGTGGCCGTTGATTTGGATGATAGAGAGAGGGGTAGGATGGTCATTTGGCATAGGGTAGACACCAATTATTGGTGTCATTGATATTTATTTCCAATTTTCTCTCTCTCCCTCTCATTCTCTCTTTCCTCTCTCACGGCAATCTCTCTCTCCCTTACCCCTCTCTCGGCCAAGCCCTCCCCCTTCCACCGTGAAGTGGCTAGTCGGCCACACCTTTCGCCGCCGTTCAACCGCCGAGTCGGATAGCCGCCACTCGGTCGTTCCCGACACCGCGGCCTCGCCATCACCACTGCCGTCTCTCTCTCTCCCTTGTTTTTTTTCCTCACCGAAACACCTCACCAGCCCCATCTCAGCCCCAGCTCAGCCAAGAAAGCCAGCAGCCAATCACCGCCGTTCGCCGCCGCTCGTGACCGCCGGCGAGTCGCCGGTAACCCTTACTGTTTGTCACCGCTGCCGCTGCTGTTCGCTCTCTGTCCAGCCACCGTTGAGGCCTCAATTTCGCGTAGGAATCACAAGTAAGTGATATCCTAACCCTCGCCTAGGATAACGGGTATTTTCGGGTTAGTTCGGGGCCGTTTTAGCGAGTTTTAGGGGTTAATCGTGGATTAATGGTTGGACTGATTTGGCTGAGTGGTTTGGATGGAGTTGTGATAGTTTTTGAGGTGGAATTGAGGTTAGAATTGATTGGTTAGGTGATCGGAATGATTCCGGGTGATTATTGTGGCTTATTGCGTGAAAAACGGGCCTAAATGTGCCGTTATGGTGATTTTCTATGGTGGCCGAGTTACTGTTCATTCTGTGGCCGAATTAGTGCATACTAGTGAGTAGAATATAGTACGTGTTGATTTGGGGGTTGTCGGTAGGAGTACGACGCCCGTGAATGGTGAAATTCGGCTTAAAATCTAAAAACTCGAGTTAATTGCACACGTGCGAATTGAATTGGATTGCCTGGTTTGTGGCGATTGTTATGGCTGGAAATAGACATGGAAATATTAAATTTATGGCCATAATTGTGGTTGTGATTGTGGGTCCAATGGCGACCTTGTTTGCTTGTTGGATTGTGAAATGATTGATTGAAATGTGGCCCCGTTATATGCGTGTATGGGCTGAATGGAATTTGCTGGAAATTGGCCATGTTTATGTGTTAATCGAGCATGTTGGTATGAGGTTCGAGCAAGTAAATGAATGAGAAATTTATGTGATGTGTCGTGCGTGTGGTCACGAGAATCCCCGAGGCGTGTACTGTAACGCGGGGAATTGTGCCGTCCTGAGGCGTGTACTTTAATGCGGGACGATGCCCGGTATTACCAAAAGACTGTCAACTTGAGGCGTGTACTTCAACGCGGGTTGTGCCGTAGGTGGTGGATGTTGAGCCTGAGGCGTGTACTGTAACGCAGGCAAGAGACATAGCCTGAGGTGTGTACTATAACGCGGGCTAAGAAGTGTTGTGAAATTGAGACGGTCGTATGTGGACCGTAGATTGATAGTGGACCTGAGGCGTGTACTGTAACGCGGGTCGCTGGCAAGTCGAATGAAAATAGTGTGATGAGGCAGGAACGAATGTGTGAAATGTGGAATTGGAAATGCCATACGTTCGACTTGTGTTTCGTGCATGGAAATTTATTTGGAATGTGCATGTAGTTGAAATTTGTGCTATTGTGGCTAACGTGCAGATTGTACCCATTAAAAGCCCAGGTAAGTGTAATTGTGTGCTTATTATGTGATTGCTGAGTGTTAGTGTGTTTGACTTGTCTGGAGGTACGTGTTAGCCTAGGTGGGGTTTAGGGTGTTTACTTGCCGAGATGTGTCTCATGGTTGTTTCAACCAAACCATTTCAGAACCCTGGCCTGAACCATGAATCTTCCGCCGCCGCCGCCTCAGCGTTTTGGAATACCTATGCACACTGACCATAACGTTGTAGAGTATCCGATGGATGAGAATATGGCCTGGATCAAGCATACTACTGTAATTTGGGTAGACATAGAGCAACCCCTTTGGCAAGCTCACACCTATACCGCCTGGTGTTTTCGGGACGGGATGGATGAGTTTGGCCCCGTCCGTGGTTTTGATGTCCCTTTTGACGGAGTAGGAGATTGGGATCCGTCGGCCATACCCCCTCCCAATGGTGAGATGACTAGCCTGGATACTAGTCTCGCCCAGTCAGGATATCAGCATGTACCCGCAGCACTCGAACCTTCAGTGGCTGAGCCTAATCCGGAGCCAAAGGAGTCGCAGGCAGGGTATGATCCGATGGATGTGGATCTAGATGTAGTGCCAGAGGAGGAACCCGAAGAAGAGCCTGAAGAGGTACCGGAAGAAGAACTCGAAGACGAACCAGAAGAAGATCCAGAGGTAGAGCCAGAAGAGGAACCAGTAGGAGATCTAGAGTTAGAACCAGAAGAGCAACCTGAGGATGAGCCAGAGGAAGAGCCAGATGAGGAGTCCGAAGAGGAAGAACGGATTGAAGTTCTGCTAGAGTCGGGTGATGAGGACAACCCGATTGAGATCGAGGTTAATTCGGAGTCCTCAGAGGAGCAGGTGGCTCAGGGGGAATCAAATTCGGGTTCTGGGGAGTCGGACTGGGAGTGGACACCATCCAGGGGGCGTAGGGGCTAGTTTTAGGGGTAGAGTGAAGGTTTTTGGGATGTCCCATTTTTGGAGTTAGGGTTTGCCCAGGCTGCTGATCCTTTTTAACGTCGGTGGTGTAAACTCTAGTAGCTCAGTGTGCATGTATATTATGTGGATTGTAAATAGTGTATTGTATAAGTTTGAATTTGGAATAGATGTATATTCTCCCTTTTACCCCTAGTAATTTTTGTCCGGGTGTTTGTGGCTTTCGCTAGTGCTTTATCTCTGATGTGTGGGGTCGGCGACATCCTGGGACGTTGCGATATTCGACCATAGAGGCATGTCATGAGCTCGATGGGGTTCGGGGCGTGACAATTAATGCAAGAACATTGAAAAGAACTCAATCTGACCATTGTCACATCAACAAGAGTCTGAGTTTTCTCGCAAGCGATATGATTTTACCAATCTGAGAGGTCTTTATCAGGATCGTAATGCAAGCTTGGTCAATAGCTTAACAAAAGAGACTGTCCGAGTCAAGGCCATGAAAGAATATATTCCCTGATCATATCCAGGTTTACAAGTCAAGAACCCTGCAAAATGAGATAGAAGTATTCTTGCTCGTACTTCCTCAAGCGATGTTTATAAACATTTGAAACTCTACGTTAACTCAAGTGCCATAATCAGAAGAGACTTTATTAGGGACATAACGTAGGCTCGGTTCACAGGTTGAGAAACGAAAGGATTGCTGGGCTAAAAAATGTGTATATAAAGGGTAAGAGTTGATGATCATCTTAACATTGTCACCAGTCTTCTTCTTCACCGTCGAGATCTTCTTTGAAAACTCCCCTGGGTATTTCTAAGCTTTAGTTTTTTTTTTTTGGACTTTGTCCAACAATTGCAAATCCACTTGAGGATACAAGTCCTTTACAGTCGTAATTCATTTTTTGATTGTTTTTTGTTTATAAGCATTGGCCTTGCTTTTACCAGGCACATTGCTGTTTTATGCCACTTGTTATCAACATTTTTTATTTCAATTATGGGCGTTGGCCTTGCTTTTACCATGCACACTGCTTTTTTACACCCCTTAATTTCAACATTTTTTGTTGTTCTTTTTATGTTGTCAGGAACTAGCCTAAACAATTTAGAACAAAACAATATTATTAGGCTCTTGGGGTCTTCATCTTCAGTCGGCATCTGGACGATGATGCTCAAATTGTGGTGACTCTTGCCTTGCCCCGGTGTGAGGCATGATCACCAACTGGGTTCGTACGAAATGAAATTGTCGGCTCAATTAGGCTACCAAGGGATATAAGTGTATGGGATAGACGAAAAACTGCTCTTCATCGTCCTAGGGACTTAAATCATCGTGAGAGTTCACCTGTAATAATGACATTTAAGGATTGATGCAAGTAAGAGCAAGAAATTTCTATTCATTTTTCTTACCTTGCGATGCCGACTTACCTTCATTTGCCCTAGTGTGGGGTCTTTCTTGACAGGAGTAATTTAAAAGGAACCTCTAAGTGTATAAGCTCAAAATGGTTAAGCAAAAGATCACCAGTAGTATATGGGGCAGAGAAATGAACTGTCTCTCATCATTTTGGCTACCGTACCTTATGCAAGAAATCCCTTTTACCTTGCAAACATGGAATCTTCTCACTCATCTCGCTGGGGATCAGTACATGGGGATGTGTATGGACTAAGAATTGCCTTTCGTCATCCCGACACATCTCATTTAGCATACCCGAGCGGCTCAACATCATTTGTCGAATTGTCACCTTAACAAATTTTCACATGGAATTGGTGAATTAAACAGGTAAAATGACCTTGCAAAATTCATTTCCAAAAGACACACGATGCATTTTGGGGAGTATTAAGCATATATTCACTTTAAAATGTTTCCTTTTTCTTTAATTCTTTCTACTCTTATGAAAAGAGATTTAAGGGAAAGAGATACTTACCTATGCTGCAGTGGCGAAGCAAACCTGCAAGGTAATGAGAGGGACCATGTTAATGAACGGCTCTTTGAGGGACAGAAGTTGGGAACGATATAACATTACCCTTCGTGTCTCCCTTCATTTGAATTTAAGCTAATGACTCCTTCAGCTTTTCTCAGATGTCGACAATTCCTGTTGAAAATAGTATGAGCTTATGTTAGCAATGAAATGATCAAAGGTAAATTGAGAATGATACCAAATTACCCTTCCTCCATTGTGTCGCTTAGATGCGACTTCACCTTGGCTCGTCCTAAAACTTGGACGAAATCCTCTGCAACCAAGGACATCTCCAACAAGGTAGCTTTTCCTCGATGCATTGTGTCAATGCGATTCCAGCACGTTGAGGAGCTTCTTAGGAACCATCTGATTCCTGACCACGCAAGGCATGTAAAATTGCCTACATGGGGATCTTTGCAACAAAGCTAATCTTTACTTTAAATTTCTTCGATTAATATGGGCGTCGTAATCTTTTCTGATGACTACCATCGAGATTCCATGACTGTCAGGATTAGGATCGACGCCATCTTGTCATATGCAAAGTCCTTTCCAGCTGCTTGTGTTGGACTTTTACTCAAGTTCGTCCTATATAAAAAGAAATGAGATGTCATTTCTACGCTAAAGTGGATGAACTTTAGGAACGAAATACTCCATTTTTGCAGGACTGGGGGGGATTCCATGCCCCCTAGTCTATTCTCCCAATTAAGCGCTCCCTGCACTTTAAGGCAAAAAACACATTAGTTGTTTGCACAAACTTAGGCTAGGACAAGGAACGAGATACATTCTTTTAGTATTTCGTCGTGTTCATTTGGGAGGTCGAAACATTTGTGCTCTATCCGGCTTACTAGCACGTCAGAGTCTAGCATGCTCCTCAAATCATCACCTGTAAAAGAGAAGGGATAGAATGTCATTTCCAAAATTTGTGAAGGAATAAAACATACCTTTTTCTTTCAAAAGGGGTAATCTCTTCTTGGTTTGCCCCCAACTTTCTTGTATGAAATGATGTTCTGCTCATCATGGAGTCAAGGAATGTTCAGCACTCCCTCTGACTCTCTGGGATTGATATCTCACACTAATAGGAATGAGATTTGCCCTACATTTCATCTTGAAGGTTGGATGATCTTTGCTTGGACTGCCCTATCGGATTAGTCGGTCCGTTATCACCACCTCAGTTTGACGTGTTCTTGGTTTGTTACCATCATTAGGACTTAATGTGTCATCTCCAAATGCCCCTTTGTAATATCAAATTAAAAGGGAGTATGCTTTGAGATACGAAGTGAGCGAGTTAGAAAAACAAACAGGGCTATGAGCATGCACGTCCTTCTACCAGCATTCTTTCTTCGGTCTTTTTGAAAAATGATAAAACATTCGTTTCATTTTCAAAAGTTTATAAACGAGAAAGCATGAGGACACTCGGACCTTAGAACACTTTCCTTTACATGGTTGGATACCATCAACGGGCCGGTTTGAGATACTTCCTCAAGCTCTCAAAATAAAACATTTGTAATTCTTTTAAATAATTCAAGCGAATTACATTTGTTGGAATAGAAATTGCAATACTAAAATTCGAAGCATAATTGAAAATTCAGAAAACCGAGAGTCCTAGAAAACAAATGAGACCTTAGAAAGCAAGAAAAGCTCCCATATAGGGGAGGATTCAAATTATTAAATATGCATTTATTCTAAGGGAGAAAAATTGAGTCTTCAGTTTACTCAATGACGACATCCACACCTCCTACCTGATTGGGTGGTGTGTTGTGAAATGAAAACATCTTTGCATCTAACAATTTCTGGACCTTATTCTTCAAGACAACACAGTCATTGACGGAATGTCCCATTTCACCCAAATGATAGTCACATTCCTTAGAGGGATCATCATTGGGAAAACGCTCAGGATTCTCACGCGTTGGCTCTTTAGCAAGCAACCTCTTTTTCAGGAAAACGGGTAGGATCTAAGACATAGGCCAATGGAGTGGCGTGAACTGTTTTTTGTTATTTCAACTTTGGGGCAGCAGGTGGCCTGAGGCTGGCTACTATTCACCGCTCATATGAATTGACAGGGGAGAATGAGCGTTCTGGGTGTATGTGAAATTCACGTATGCCAAGAGCTCATTTTCCTTTTTCGTGCTGAGTCTCTTGCTTGTGGAGGTGGGGTTAGTGAATCACCCGTCGTGCAATCCTATCTCAATTCGTTCGCCTACTAGAACAAGTCAGTTAAATGACTTAGCAATGGCACCAACCATACGGTATCTATATTTATACGGAAGAGACTTAATGAACAGCTTCATTTGTTCATGGTCAGGAAGTTCTTGGGTGAGCTGGGTAGCCAAATTCCTCCATCTGGTAACATATTCTTTGAACGATTCACTCTTCTTTTTCTCAATGCGTTCGAGGTCATCACGAGAAAATGTGATGTCGAGATTGAATTGGTACTGCTTGGCGAATGCATCAGTGACATCATCTCAAGATTTGAAGGCGTATATATCCTTTGACATATACTATGTCAGCGCGGACCCTGTCAAGCTTGCTTGAAAATTCTGGATCATGAGGGGCTCATTATCAACATACTAGTTCATTCATACATAGTACATGTGTAGGTGATGCTTAGGGCAAGAGGTGCCGTTACATTTATCAAATTTTGGCATTTTGAACTTTTCTGGCATCTTGACCCTTTTGTACATAGATAGGTCAATTGGGAGAGAATACTGTGAGCCGTGTAACTGCTTCAACATCTCCTCAATCTTCACAAGGTGCTTGTCATATTCTGTCGTTGGCGAGTTCACGAGCATAGCCTTCTCGATTGCAAGTGGGAGCAGATCTTCTTCTAGCATGGGCCTCTTATCGTTACTGGCCGTGGCTTGGTCATTGCTAGTGGACGAATGCGGTAGCACCACCTCAATTAATGCGGGCATGGGAGTGAGTTCGCCTTGGATGGATTACACCTGCTTCATGAGATTTTGGATTGCGTTGATGACCATCTTCATTTCGCTGTTCGCGTTAGTGAGATGGTCGAGCATGCTTTCCTCGGCCATTTTTGCCTACTAACTGTCAAGAAAGGGCAATGAATGAGTATAAGACCTCATAAGGGATCGGTCCATGACTTAGTCTAACCATGTATTTTCATACCCTGTTTAGTCAAATACTTTCCCTTTCTTACAAAAATAAAATATGCAAATTTTTTTTTCTTTTACATTTTTTTTGTACAACGGCGACCTTGGAGTTCGAACCTCGGTCGCTTCGGACTGCTTCACTCCCGGGTACCACTAGGGCGAGGCGTTGGGTTTTTTTATTTATTCACCATTTTTTACATTTTTGAAAACTATGGGAAACCCCTTGGGAAACAATGATTTTAACATGCTTATAAAAATAAGCGCATGAATTGAAAGTAAATATTCAGAAAAAGTTTTAGCGACTATTTCTTCCAAAAGGACCATGGTATTAAATCTACAACTAACCTAGACTAATCATGGACCGACCGGGACATATGAAAATAAATAAATTGCAAAGTGCAGAATTAGAAAACTTACTTTACTGAGAACTATGGTAATCATAGAGACATGCGCATAAAAAG